TTCCCAGCCCCATTTACCACACTTAACAGAAGTTTCTGTTACCTGACAAGATGCACAACTTTGTTGATTCAGCTATCAGAATCGTGTCAAAATCATCTTGGATGAACCTAAATTAAGGTGTGCTATTGCAATAAAGATAATACCCATTGCTATAGCTTGGATCTGGAATTTCCCTCAAAGTCCTGAGTGTTAAGGTGCAGACCTCAGGGATATTGGTAGTTGATGGAACTTTTAAGAGGTGGGGTTTCCTGGGAGGAAGTTAAGTCATTGGGAGCATGCCTTACTTGAACTCCTACTCCCCTTCTTTCTTTGCTTTCTAGACGCTATGAAGTGAACAGTTCTCCTCTGCCATGTGCTTCTACCATAACATGCTGTCTTGCCTCAGACTCAAAAGCAACAGACCAGTGAACCATGAACTGAGACTTCTGGTACTGTGAAGCAAATAACCCTTTTCTGTTTATAAGCTGATTTATCCCAGGTACTTCTTACTGCAACAGCAAGCTGATTAACACATTATGCACCCTCCAAATACAGTGGCTTAGAGTACATCATTTATTTCTCCCTTAGGCAACCATCTCTAGGTGAGAGATCCTGGTTGATGGAGCAGCTCTGCTCCATGCAGTGATTCAGGGATCCAAGTTCCTTCCATCTCGCTGCTCCGTCATCCCATTGGGCATTGCTTGTGTTTGTAAGGTCAGACCTGAGTGAGGAGTGTTTCCACTCATTTACTTGTAGAAGTGGTAAGGAGAAAATTCAGGAGCTTGGTTTAAAATTGTAGCTTTTAAATTGTAGTGTAAGTTTTAAGTTGCCTTCTGAGTTGGATAAGCTGGGCTATCTCCTGAGAGCTGTATGCATCCTTTCTGCTCACATCTCATTGGCTCAAACCTTATCACAGATCCACCCTGGGTGGATGAAATCAGGGAACTGAAGTTCCTGGGTCAACAGCATCTGCCTGTCTTGAATTCTATCACTCTGAAGCAAGGGGAGAACGGATGCTTGGTGCTCTGCCTCAGAACCCTTCCTTAAAGTTCTTGTTAAGAACTTAAGAGGACAGAGATGGTCAACCTCCTAAGAACAGGCTGAATCTAGTTTTTTCTTTTTCTTTTTTTTTTTTTTTGTACCGGGAATTGAACTCTGACCTCAGGCTTTCCAGGCAAACTCTTATGCCACTGAGCTATATATCCCCAGCCCTGAACCCAGTTTTCGTGTCTACTTGTACATGTGACAGAACCTGGCCTCAGAACTGTGCTCATTGCAACCTATTTGATGCAGATGTGTTGGAGGCTTGGCCACCCTGAATATGGGATATCAACACCACCCTGGAGTTCTTAGGAATGTAGGCTTCAGACCTAAATCCAGAGGTCCTGAGCCAGAATCTTTACAATATCTCGAGGAGAAGCACCGTCTGTAGGCACCTTACTTGGTCTGGACTCACAGCTCTCCCTTGCCTTCCACAGCTGGAAGAGCCCAGACAGCATCGATGGAAGAGAGATACCTTTAAGCAGATCACACACAGCACTGAAAGAAGGGTAGGATTAAGAAAAGAAAATACAGTGCATCACACATTAGAAGCACACCTAGTTTTCAAAAGTTATATATATATGGGGGAGTGTAAAATACAACTCTTACTGTACTCATCGTCATCAACTAAACAGGGAGGCAGGGGACTGAGTGGGACGTTCACACCCCGGGTTGCTGCCATCTCGGATCAGTGCGGCGTTGGCTTCATTCATGTCCTCGCAGATTGGAGTAGGGAAAGTTTCCAGGACCCACTGGGAATAAATCCCCGCGGCTCCTTCCCTCCCTCTTAGTGGTACCCACTTTCTTTTAAAACTCAGAGACGTTGCCTGAGACATCTTATCTGACCCTAAACCCAAAGATTCCTAACTCCGTGAGCCTCGTTTTCCCTACTTGTAAAGGAAGTTCCTTTTGCCTAGAAGACCTCTAGGGGGCTCGGCCCAGGCCCTGGTCATGTGAGCCGACGTGTCCGGGAGGGAGGGGCGGTGGAGGAACCCACACTGTGCCTGCTGACCCTGCAGATGCCTGCGCTCCGGGACTGGCCCCAGGGTGTGACAGGGGAGCCCGGGTGCAGTCGCCGCGGCTCCACGCAGCCGGTCCCGGCCGGGGTCCTCCAGCCCCGCGGTCTGGGCCAGAGGGCGGTGCGGCAGCGCCACCGTGTGGTCGCGCGACATCAAAGCGCCGCGGCTCCGCAGCGTCATTTGCAGGGCTGCAGACGTGACCAGGTGGCCGGGGTGCCTGGCCGCATCACCCTCCGTTTTTCTTACACTGTCCCTGGCCGAGCTGCTAGGGTCTCCAGGCACAGAGTGGAGGAGGCAGTCTGTGCCCCCTCCCTGCGCTCGGGGGGCGAGCGTCGCAGAGGGCACCTGGGCCACGGATGGTCCTAGCCCAAGGGGGACCTGGAAAGGTAGCGCAGGGCGCTCCGCCGTCAGAGGCCTCGGTCTCCGCGCCTCGCTGCTCACAGCGCCCTGGCCTTGAACAAACAAGCACCCCCTGCCCCCCGGGCTAACAGGTTGGAGTCTTCCTAACCACTGCGCCACCCCATCCTGGGATCCAGGCTCAGGTTTACTTCTGAATCCGGGCGGGGGCGCGGGCAGCGCCCCAGGAGGGTACCCAGGTGGACACGGTTACAGGTGATAGGCAAGAAGAAGCACCTGCGCTGCAGACCAGGCCCTGGCTTCGGGCACACTCCGTCCCAGTGTGGCGCAGGTCCCAGGGCTGATTCAGGAGTTGTCCCAGGGGTCACTGCTGCCATCCAGACCCCACGGCTTTGCCTGTGCAGTCAGGGAGGGTGGAGGAGGGCGGATAATCCAGTAAAACACACACACACACACACACACACACACACACACACACACGCGCGCGCGAAACTTTTATTTATTGGCCTTGCACGGGGTCAGGGGCTGTGCTAAACTCTTAACTTCCCAGGCCAGTAAAGGATGCCGTGATTTGTCCAGAGTCACTCAGTTAAGAAGTAACAGGCGGAAATCCAAATCTGTCTCCCAGTTCACCACTCGGGGGAGAATTGGCCTCTGGTCCCCTTCCCTGCTCCACCCCAGCCTTCTCCACAGGGGCCACAGCTCTTTATTGAGCAGGGCCGGGGGAAGCTGGAGATTTGGGCAGAAGGCACACCTAGGATCAGAAGTCGCGCCTTCCCACCCTTCCCCGCTGCCATCACCCTTCCCGAGGAACTCCCAGCGGCTCCTCTGTCAGCGACACAGCAACTCAGGAGGCTCCCAGCCATCCGCGCGTGACTGCGTCCTGTCCCACAGTTTCCCATCTTGACAGCTTCAGCTTTTGCAGGTGAAGGAGTGGAGACAGATCTTCCACGGAGAGTCTAGCGTTAATTATCTGCCCCGCTGGATGGATCCCGGGGGTCCTGGGATAGCGTTCAAGATTAAATCTGGACGTGGTGCAGGCGGCTTCCAGCTTCCTAAATCCATTTTCTCTTGAGACCACTACTAATAGCTAATGATTTTAAAGCACTTGACAAATGTAAGCAAAATCCATGAGTTAACCTATTTATGGCATACAAAAACATTTCAAGCACTGTTACCAGCCTCACTGTCCACCTAAGGAAACTAAAGCACAGAGAGGTTAAGCATCTGGCCTGAGGTCACACAGGGAGCAAGGGACAGAGCCAGGCCTTCAGGTCTTTCTGTGCTCCGGGTGTCACTTCAAGCACTTGCGCTGCTGCTGAAGACATCGAGAGCCTCTTTGTTGCTGTCTGGAGCCCACCCAGAACAAAAGTGTGGCCTCAAGGAAATAGAGTTTGCAGTTGTTCTTTCAATGTCCTGGGATTTCAGAACCAGATTTAATTCACACTGTGCAAGAACAACAAAGAAAGAGGATACTCTCGTGCTGGTTTATGAGAATTCTCCATGGGAGGAAGGCGTTCCCCAGCTGGAAGAAGTAGCATCCCACAGCACACACAGAGCAGTGCAAAGCCCCTGTGATCCCTCCCCTTCATTCTTAGTATTCTGCATGGGGTTATCCTTTTGCAGCTCCTCAAACAACCACAGAAGGTGAAACAGAAGTGTTGTGTATTTGTGTGTGTGGTGGAGGACCACCTGGCGGGCTCTCCTTGAAAGGAGAGCGATTGTCTCCATTTTGGCTAAACCTGGCCCTATTTCCACGTATCGGTGTGTGCAGAACTGGTGAAGTTTTGTCTTTATCCCCTCTGTTGGCTTTAAGCAATGCAGATGGGTCTGGCTGAGGTGCTGATGTGTATGTAGTCTTTAAAGCAGTGCGACAGGTCGGTGATGCCCTGCCGCCTGTACCTCCCAACTAGTACGTGTGGACTAGGCTGAGAGATGCCATGCTGTTGGCAGAGAATGAGCCTCTAGAAAAAAGGTTATGACTTCTCGGGGCATGGAAATTACACATCAGCACTGAAGCATGGACCCCAAAACACTAGGTATTGCCCCAATGGGTGATATGCAGATCACTCTTTCTGCGTCTCTCTCTCTCTCTCTCTCTGTCTGCATACCGCAGAGGTGATTTCGGGCCTCCTCCCTAGCCCAGCTCACAGCACTCACTACTTCCCATGGTTCTCACAGTCACTCATCCTCCAGCCACTCCCCTCTTCATGAATGAATAAAACCAGGGTTTGGCCCTGGGTTGAGGCCTTTGTTTCGGTTCGTGGCTGTTCTAGCTGGACTTACAACCCTCTTGGCTCCCCACAACTACAGATATGCCTTAGTGGCTTTATTTTCACTATGGATTGCACTGGAAGTGGTAGATTGGAATTAATTTATAGGAATTCCAATAACATTCCCCTGGGATTACATATATACACTTCCTGGACCGATACTTTCAATATGTACCATAGATGTTTTTTGGTATGACCACAATACATTGTGGTCATACCAAAAATGTATTGTGGCCACCACAATACATTCCATCCTGCATGTTGTTAAAATGTAACCATGGCAACCCCCTCGGACTTGGGTGCACCTTTGTGACCACTTCAACCAGCTGATCATAGCAGAAGTGGTGGTTCCGGGCTTCGGAGCCTGACTCGGAAGTACCGTGCCTGCCTCCCTTGCTGTCTTAGGACGCTTGCTCCTGGAACTGAGCTGCCATGCTGTGAGGGAGCCAAGCAGCCACAGGAGAAGCCGCATGTGAATGCTCTGGCCAGTGGGCCCCTGCGGTCCCAGCTGGCAGCCAGCATCAGTCCTCAGGGAACAAGTGAATCTTCAGCTTTTCAACCACTCCAGCTGACACCACAGGGAACAGAGGTGAGCAGTTCCTGCCAACATCTGCCAAATTAAAGATTTGTAGCAGAACAAATGATTATTATGGAGTTAAGCCACTCTATCGGGGAGGTTTGCACACAGTAGTGGATGAGTGGAGTGAGTTCTCAACACTCACTTTCACAATTATGATTTCTTTTCTGCAGTGAGCTTCTTCAGGCGTATCACCTTCTGAACATACCAGAAGGTTCCTCTGGGGAAACATCTAGAAGCAGATCGCTGGACCCAAGTCTAAACCTCAGAGGGGAGGGGGGACAGTGAAGCAGTAAGAGTGAATTGACCATGTCTACTCTAACAAGGATCCACTTTGAAAACATGTTGAGTGACATATGCAAGGCATAAAATGTTACAGGATGGTCTCACTCATGTAAAATCCAAAGAAAACTGAGAGCAATGGGATATTTTGTTTAAGGGACCACACGTATAGTAAAGCATACAAACATCCCCAGAAGTCATACTCATACACAGGGTGAGTGCCAAGTGTGAGCCGTGTCTGTAACATTTGAGAGGCCGTCTCAAAATAAAAAGAACAAAAGTGAAGGGGGCCTGAGGAAGTAGCTCAGTGCCAAGGTCCTGGGTTCAATTCCAAGTACCACAAAAAAGAAAAGAAAACAAAGCATCAAACAATGAAGGTTCAAAGCAAAATCTACAATGTTGGCCTCTGTTAAATCTAGGTGTGGGATATGTGGGCATTGTTATTCTTATTTTTCTTTATATTTGTATAAATTTTATAATAATATTATTTTCTTATAGTTATGTGATTGTTTGAGTTCTAAATGTAAAAATCTAACTTCAAAATTATGGAGGATTGTGTTGTCTCTTGTGATTTTCATGTTTACATGTTTGATGTAATTTACATGTTTCATGCAATTTACATGTTTGATGACATAACTGATTAATTAAAGGAAGACGTCCAATGGGCTGATCATTCAATTTAAATACCTCTCCTTTCCCATCATGCACCCTTCCTTCCTACACCACTGGCGGAAATGACAGGTGGGAGGGGATCAGAGAGTATAACTCACAGGTAGAGATTTTGCCTCACATGCGTGGGTTTTATCTCTAATACTGCAAAAGGAAAACACACCACACTTTAACTTCCCTGCCTTTATATGAGGTAGACCTCAGCCTGGATTAATAATCCAGAGATCTGGTTTCACAAGTCATTCTCACACTTTGTGTCACATTCAGTCTTAACACACGCCCTATGGTAGTAATAATGGGCCACCTTGAATTGAATGTATTATAAATGCCAAGCCTCATGTCAAATGCCCTGCATATGTCTTCTTTGTAAAAGTAGGCTCTGCTTTGTCCCTTTTCTGCAGCCAGTTTCTTTCTTTTATTCCCTCAAATGTTAGTTTCTATTGTTGTTATTATTATTTCCTCAGAATCTTGATGGCAGAACAAAAGTCCAACCAAGCCCATTAGAATCCACACCATGGATTGTGAGGCTCTTCTGCCTTCTGTGGGGAAGCTGTGCATGTTATTCTCAAGTTATGGTAAAGAAACAGACCCCAAGAGCGTTTCCCTCCTTGATTATCTGGTAAGTTATTCATCCTCTTATACCCTTTTAAATGTCACCCCATTTGGAAAGCTGTCTTGCTGATCCCCCACAAGAGCAGCCCATATCCCACTGAAAGTGTTGACTCCTCTCCCTTCTCTGCTGCCAGGTGAGCCATAGAGTCAGTCTGGGCTCTGCTCATTTGTATTCACAGCAGCTAGAACACCACCTGATGCCCTATGGGCGTCTAGTCTTTCAGAAATGAATCTTGATTAGCACCTGCCTTGCTTGCGTTCCTGAGCCATCTACATGCCCATTAACTCTGATGAGCAACTCATTTCACCTGCCTGCATAATAGCACAGTTTGTGCAAAATGGCTCACAGCTGTTCTGGTAATTTCCCTCAGATGGAAACAGGAAATCCCCACTCACCTTTATGCAAGAAATCCAACCCAAAGGACTAACTGGGGGCCTCAGATTCATAGATAGGTGCCCTGGAACCTCCATTAAGGATAATAATAGTAGTGCAAAAGAGAATGTATATGGAGTATTTAGCTTATGCTCTGGAGTGAGCTAAGTGACTTATATGAATTTAGTTTGGAAAATAAAATGGCCTGTTGCCCTCGCCCCCAGAGAATGTGTTCTGGTTTCTATGTGAGAGATGCCTTAAGTCAGAATTTGTCCCTGGTGGGAAGACTTGAAGGAGAAGTTGAGTGTTTTAACTCAAAAGCTTTGTCATGTTGATGACATGAGAAGACCCTGCAAGGCAGCCTTTTTGACTTGAAGGTAGCATTTGTCATACCCTGGGGAGCCTGTGTGGCAGTGGCGTCTGAGGATACCACCATGTGGTGCTTTGTCAACACCTCTTTTCAAACTGCGTCGGGGAGTGATATGCAATACTGTGTGGAATGATCTGCATTGTGACACAAGAACTGATAGAGCCTCTTGGATCAACCTCATTTTCATCACAAAGTTTTGAAAGAGTGTTGCCATGGCAGTGTACCTTCTCTTTCAACACCACATTCAATTCGCTCATTTAAACCCTCCTGTCATGCCATGCAAAGGAAGCTAAAGCCATGCGGGACAGCTACAACAAGGTATCTAGGTGACCTCAGGACTCTGTCTCAGTTTCCTGTCCTATCTGAGTGGTGACATTAGCTCTGTTGTCTTGCTACTCAGCATCCTTCAAAGCTTTAGGAATATGGTGGTAGCCAGATTAAGTCTCACACTGACAGTTTTGCTAAAGACCATCAAATCTCTGCTTTGGGATAAACGTTCTACCTGCCTCTGTGAATGTTTCAAGAGAAATTTAAAGTTGGATCTCTGTTTTCAAAGAATTCAGTCCTTGAGTGCACAGGCAGAATAAAAACCTATGAAAAGCTTACAAAAGAATTGAGAGTATATCTCACGCTAGGGATAAAATGTCCACGAATAGAAAGTAGAGAAAAATGATGTTCAATGTTAAAAAAAAAAAAAAAAAAAGCTACTTTCCATTCTAGCCCCCATTCCCTACAGAAAGAATTTGAGGGGATTCTCATGAAAGTCAGCTCTTGATTTTCCAGGTCCTGATAACCCACAGTAATAGGAATCAGCCGTTATCCCCTTTGTTAGTCACTCCAGAACAGTTCAATTAGGTTCTAATTGGAAAGTCAGCTGCAGTTAAAGGTATACTGGAAAAGCATTGCTTATCTCCTCTTAGATCTTCCAAAGTCAACAACTAGGCAGGGCTTAGGTTTCCTTGCTTGGGTTGGCACTAAAATTACTTAAGTGGTCCAGAGACTTTTTTTCCCTAAGCAAAGCAATGGAGACTGCTCTAGGAAACTATGGCTTTATGTCTATAGCCAAAACCTTTGACAAAATTTAGTATCCTTTCATGAGGCTGTTGGTCCACGAATAATTGCTAACTGTGATTAAGGAAAAATGCATAAGACATGATCTGGTCTGCAGAAAATCCTAAAGACTCCACTAAAGAACAGTAACAACCAATAAATAAGTTCAGCTATGTTGCTGAGAACAAGAGCAATATGAGAAAAATCAACAGCATTTCTTCATCCTAGTAATGAACATTGAAAATCAAATTGAAAAAACATTTTCAATAAAATATAATACCTAGAAATGAATTTTTAAAGTGCAAATCTTATACACTAAAAACTATGAATTATTGTTGATAGCAACTAAAAAAGATATGAATAAATGGAAAAATATCTCATGTTCATGGATTGAAAGACTTACTATTGTTAAAGTGGCAATACTTTCTAACTTGATCTACTGGCTCAACACATTCCTTATCAAATCCCAGATTCCCTTTTTTTGCAAATATTAACATACTGACTCTAAAACTCATATGGGACCCAAAATAGCCAAATAATAATGAAAAAGAAGGACAAATTTGGAAGGCATTTCCTGATACTAGATACTACAGCAATCAGTTGAAGTGTGGTACTATCTAGATGAGGATACACCCACAAAGCAATGAAATATAATTGGAGATTCAGAAATAAACCCTTGTATTTATTATGAATGGATTGCTGAGAAGAGTGCTACAAAAATTTAATTGAGAAGTAGTTTTTTTCAACAAATGTTGCAGGGACAACTGTATATTCACACCAGAAGAATGATGATGGACTTATTTCACACAATATACAAAAAATTAACTCAAAACTGATCATAGGCCTAAATGCAAGAAGTGAAACCCTAACACTTTTAGACAAAAAGTGAACGGTCATGACCTCAGGTTAGTAAGTAGTTTCTTAGTGCTGACACTAAAAGTACAAGCAACATACAGAAAAAGAGATAAATAGAACTCCATCAAAATTAACATTTGTACCCCACATCACTATCATAGGAGTGACACTGAACCCCAGGTAGCTTCAGGAAACTCAGTGAATGATGCCCTACACCCCCACCATCGCCTGAGTGATGCTAAACCCCAGAGAACTTTGGGGGCCTCAGTGAGCTGACCTCTGTACCCCACCACCATTGAGGGAGGGACGATGAGCCCCAGGAACTTTGGGAGCCTCTGTGAGCCTCCCCCCACCATGACAGGGGAGATGCTGAGCCCCAGACAGTTTCAGGGTCCTTAGTGAGTCATGCCTCACCCCCTCCACTGTCACAGAAGTGAAGCTGAGCCCCAGGCAGCTTCATGGTCCTCAGTGAGCTACTTCCCACCCCCACACCATCACAGGAGTGATGTTCAGTGCCGGTGAACTTGGGGATCCTCCTTGAGCTGCTCCCCATCCCCCCACAATTGCGGGAATGAAGCTGCACCCGGGAAACTTCAGGGGCCTCAGTGAGATGAATCCCCACTCCTCTGCTATCACGGGAGCGATCCTGAGCCCCAGTGAACTTCAGGAGCTTCAAAAATGTCCAAAAATGGAATAAAGTACAATCTCAAACCTCTAGCCCATCCAGAACAAGTCCAGGAGACACAGACATAAAAGAACTTGGAAATTACAAATCAGAGATTTCTGAAATGATAGTAATTGAAGTAAAGAAACAACTCCATCAGACCATAGAAGAAATCAGATCAGAAATAATCCCTCAAGTAAAAAAAGAAATGGCAACAATAATGAAAGAAATACTCAGAACATCTAAAGGAGACATAAATAAAAAAGTAGAGGAGCATAGAAAAATGATGGAAACATTGAACGAACAATATAGGAAAGGATTAGAATGCATGAAACAGATTCAGACAGATATCCAAGAAATTCAAAATTCCATTGAAAGCTGATAAAACTGCCTAAATGAAACTTAAGATAAACTTTCAGACCTTGAAGAAAGCATTACAGCTAGGAATCATGAAAGAAAAGATCTCTTTAAAATAACAATTCAACAGCTGCAAGATGATGCAAACAAAAACAATATAAGACCGACAGGTGTCAACAAAGGAGCAGGAGTCAACATGGATGACATAAAAAGACTATTTGCAGAAGTAGTAGGAGAATATTTCCCAAGCATGGAAAAAGAATCTGACATATAAATAAGTGAGCCATATAGAACTCCATTTAGCCGCAACCAAAATAAATCTACATCCAGACACATAATAATCAACATCCCAGAAATTCAGCAAAAGAAGAGAATATTAAAAGATATTAGAGAAAAGAAACAGATTACCTACAAAGGAAGGCCCATCAGAACTATGGCAGACCTCTCAACACAAATCATCAAATTAAGCAGAGCTTGGAGTGAACTATTTCAGACTGTGAAAAAAATCCACTTCCAACTCAGACTTATGTACCCTGCAAAACTACCTTTCAAAACTAATGAATAAATTAGACACTTCCACAACAAAGAACAATGGAAGAAATTCATGACTGCCAAACCAACCTTACAAAGAGTACTACAGATAATCTAGAAAGAGAAAAATGACCACAACTTCAAGAACAATGATAGAAAGGAGTTACCAAACACAGCAAGCAATTAAACAGAAGGGAAAAGTAGGGAATCAACAGAGAGAAAATAACATGGAACATGCCTAAGGAAATACAAAGGAATTGAAATTATCCCATGCATATTATCTGACCATAGTGCAATGAAATTGGAAATTACTGACACAGGAAATTGCAAAAACTCCATAAACACCTGGAAATTAAATAACACCCTCCTGAAAAACCAATGGGTCACAGATGAAATTAAAGAAGAAATTAAACTATATTTACAATCAAGTGAAAATGCCAATATGACTTACTGGAACATGTGGGATGCAATGAGAGCAGTCCTGAAGGGAATATTTATAGTGGTGAATTCTTACTTCAGGAAAACACAGAAAATGCAAATAAACAACCTTATGCTACACCTCAAACTTCTAGAAAAAGAAGAGCAAATCAAGCCCAAAACTCAAAGAAGGTAGAAATTATAAAGATCAGAGCAGAAATAACACAATGGAGACTAAGAAAACAATATGAACAATTGATAAACCAGAGTTGGTTCTTTGAAAGAATAAATAAAATTGATAAGCTGCTAGCCAACTTTATCAAAAAAGGGAAGAAAAACTCAAGTCCATGCAATAAGGTATGAAAAGGCTAAAATCACTACATATACTGT